AGACTCACAGGATTCATCAGACAGTGGAGCAGCAACTCAAAAAACCAGAGAAATACTGGCGAGGCGGCCTTCATATCGGTAAGGAAAACAAACAAACAAAAAGAAACTGAAAACCCAGTTCTTGTTTAATAAACAACAATTCAGGAACTGTCATTTTTTCACATTATAGAAAAATCCTGAATGACCTTTCAGCAGAGGAAATGGCACACATTGAGGGAAAGGACAGCAGTCCCACATCCACAGGAGTTACGGGTGTTACAGTACCAACCACACCAATCTACCAGACCAGCAGCGGCCAGTACAGTAAGAGCTTTTCCCTTCGGTTATACTTGAAAGGAGAACCTACAAAATTAAGAATTGCAAAATTAAGAATTGCCTTGAAATGTAAAATATATATATATATATATGGAAAAGAGCTCTATATACATGGAGCGCTATACTGAAAGTTAGAATTTTTGTAGTACTTGAGCTACTCACAAAAAATGTAACTTTTACTTTTGCTTTACCAGCTTCTAATACTCTTTGTGTAATTTTTTTCTAGTTACCATAGCTGCAAATGGCACAATCCAGCTGGCATCTCCAGGGTCCGAAGGCATTCAGGGACTTCAGGCTGTCACCATGGCCAACTCTGGTGGAGCCCAGTCAAGCACCACCATCCTTCAGTATGCCCAGACACCCGATGGACAGCAGATACTGGTGCCTAGCAATCAGGTTGTTGTACAAGGTGAGTCAATAAAATTTGCCAGAGTTTTCAAGCAGTTTTTTCCTGATTACTTTTTTGTGAGCTTAAATGTGTTCAGCTAAATTATGCTCTCTTATAACATGTTCCGGTCAGATGACGGTGCCTTATCAAGGGGCTCTGACTACAAGAACAATGTAGGATTGGCAATCAAAAAAGTAAATCCAGTCACAAGTCTTCCTGGAGCTTACTCCAACATCCTGTAGTACATACCACGGACCAGTAGAATATGGAAAAACACACATACTACACTAAATACTTACCTACCATGCAGCGTATTGTGTAGTGGCCTTGTGTCTGAAAATCTTTACATTCTTAGATTTTATCTGCTCAGTGGTATGTGTGTAGTAACTTGCCAAATACAGCTTGTAAGGTTCTTTATAAGTACCATCTTACTTCCAACAAGATGTCTTTTTATTTTTCAGTCTAATTATTGTTTATTTGGAAAAACAAACCCAAACTGCTAGTTGAGTCACATAGGTTTGAAATCTTTTGAAATAAGAGGGGTAGAAAAAAGGCCAACAAACCCGAGCAGTAATAATTCAAATTTCAGGTGAACACAAGAATTCCTCGTGTGTGCCAAGTGAAGTAACATATGTCTTGTTGGACTATACCACTGTACATAGTTCTGGTCAACTGAGAAGTAATTACTGATCAAGCATCTTAACTCATGCCTGCATGCAAAACTCTTGTTTTTCCAGTTGTAATTCTTTGACTATTGTTCCACACAGGTGCAGGAGGAGAAGTGCAGACGTACCAGATCCGCACAGCACCCACATCCACTTCCTTGCCTCAGACTGTAGTTATGACGTCTCCTGTGGGACTGTCCCAGACTAAAACTGATGATCCAACAATGAAAAGAGAAATTAGGCTCGCAAAAAACAGGTAAATCCACAGTGTATTTGTGAGTAAAACAAGGTCTCATATTCCGCCTGGATGGGGAAGCTTTAACAAGTTGTATGAAAAAGCTATAAGTTTACAAAATCATCAACTGATTTGGACCCGAAAAAACAATCTATAGGTGTGAAAATGCCCCAGGTGCTTTTACTTTGTGTACATTCATTTTATGGTTATAGTTATAGTTGGGGAGGTAGGGATTGGACAAAATCCTCTATCACCGTATCAATAAGTTTATAGTGCACATTGTGAAACACTTTTTTTTCCCCCTGTTTTCAGAGAGGCAGCCCGTGAATGTCGACGGAAGAAAAAGGAATATGTTAAATGCCTGGAAAACCGCGTAGCTGTTCTCGAGAACCAAAACAAGACTCTGATTGAAGAACTCAAAACATTAAAAGATCTTTATTGTGTTAAAACAGGTTAACCTGTGTGAATAATGTTCATGGATTGGGACGTAGTGTGACAGTGGTGCACCTCAGCCATTTGGACGTGATGGGGTTTCTGGGAACACTTCATTTCAGGCTGAGATTCTACAGGGTTTTGTTTTTTGTTTTGTTTTTTTACTCTGTTTGATATATAAAAAAAAAAGTGACTTATAGCAGTGACATTTACTCGGGAAAAAAATACAAATTGGCCATTTTTCCACCTGCTGTTTTTAAAAAATGCTAATGCTATAACATTTATAGTTGTGTACATTTTTAATAATGGGAGATGTGAAATTGTGAGCTTTAATGTTGAGTCTCAGTTTCTAAATGTATCCCTTTCCTTTTTTTCTTGTTTTTTTTTTTTTTACTTTGCTGTTGGATTTTTTTTTTCTTAAACAACATCTGCAGAAATTTGACTATATAATTACTACACAGACATATTTTGTTTATTTTATGAACCAGCATTTCCCCTCATTTCCCTATACGGAGATGTTACAATTGTCATTCCTTATATTTGTGCAATGCAATATAAAAGGTAAGAGAGAAAGGAAACAAACAAAATTAAGTGTGGTTTGTTTGGGTGTTTTATGGCCGTTCCTTAGACAATCAGGGAAAAAAAGCACAGTGTCCAGGTAATATTTATTATATACATCATGGGAGGGAAGGGAAAGGAGAACAAAACAGTAAATGAAATGTTGCTGATTGTGTAAATAAATATATTTTCACTCAATTTATGTAGTGTGGCTAATGTATTGCAATAAAAATGTAAGCAGATCTGTTATAATTACAGGGATGAATGAAAATAATTTCAGGTTTTTTTCAGAATTTTAAACTTGTGTGCACTCAGATGGGCTGCCTTTCAAAATAAACCTCCAGCCTGAACTTGGACCTCAACTAGTAGTTTGAAATTCATATGTGAACTCTGGACAGGCCATTACAAGTGTTGCTTTAGGATGTATGTCACTGTATAACCTGAATGTTTTAATATAAACTCCACAGTCCACCATGCCGTCATTTAATACAATATCCCATGATGTGTGGCCTGATCATCAAACTGACATCTGGAGCATCAATGTGTCTTAAGTTAAGCTCAGAAAAACCAGCTACCTCTATATCTTTCCATGTTGCTCTGGTAATCATGCATCCATCCCCGAGAAAGCACCAGAGAGGCTCAAACACATACTGCAAAAAGTATGTCCAGGATGAAGAATCTGAGACAACATGTTCCAAAAAGTAGAAAGCGCCACCCTGAAACACAGTCAGCAAAAAAGATTACATTGTGTTCATGTGTGGTTGTGTAATGCTGGTTATACATACACTGGGGCTGACTTTCTGGCTGATACTGGTTCAAACTAGATGAAGTGTGACAAAGAAGGGGTGTGGCGATTCCAGTATAACCATTGGACTCCTCCATTGGAGTCATACATCTATCAGATATTTTAGGATTTGCTAACAGTAAAAAATATTCTTGACAAGCATAAAGGGAAAAAGAAGTCTACTTTAAAAGTGCGGTCTTTTGCATATTTTAACTTAAAATATTTAACAGAGTTGTTCAAATGCCATGCAAGACGTGTGAGGTTCACCTTCAGTGGGTCAACCACAGATGATGCAAAATCTGCATAAGTAGATACTTCACAGAGAAACCAGTCTAATACTTTGTAGAATGGCTTCATTTCATTTCATCACTTGAGATGCCACTGACTATACTACATGTTGAGTACTTCTGGAAGAAGGGCTTCTAGAGCTACAGATATTTACCCAGTCTCTAGCCCTAGCTTTTCATATTGGCGGAAGTTGGGGCCAAATACTTTTTAAGCAGCCGGTGATATATTTTAACCAGATTCATTGCATAAGATGATTTCTGGGTTAAAATTACCCCAACCCGTTGTGGCAAATGGCTGTTCCTCCCTGAGCCTGGTTTTGCCAGAGGTTTCCTCCTGTTAAAAGGGAGTTTTTCCTTCTCACTGTTGCCAAGTGCCTGGGGCTCATCTGATGTAAAGCATGTTGAGAGTAGGTTGTTGTTCTGATGTAACGCGATGTAAATAAGACTCAGTTAAATTGGATATGTTGTCCACTGCTCTACAAGAAGCCGGGATATGGTGGTAATAACACACCGAGTGTGTTTAATGCCACATAATGAATTTACTAGCAGTCCTCATGTAACCGACTACAATGCCATTCATGCGCGTTAGCAGCAAATAAAATAAATCCTACTGAGCCTGAAGGCAGCACCGAGACGTTACTTACTGTTCTGAGAACGCGCCGGGCCTCCTGCAGGACCTGCTGCACATTGCTGACAGAGCACAGGACTAAGGTGCAGACAACAACGTCCGCAGAGCCGTCCCGTACTCCCCGCATGTCCTCCCCGGAGACGCACATAAACTTGTCGTAAGTCAGATGCTGGTTTGCGTCCATGCTCATCCGCAGGTACTTCTCGAAGTGCGGGTTGGGGTCAGTGCAGATCACCGTGCAGCCGTGAGGGTAAAACTTGAAGTTAGCTCCGCTGCCGCACCCGATCTCCAGCAGGCGGAGGGTGCCATCGGTATCTGCAAATTTGGCCATGTTTCGGAAAAGCTCCCTCTTGACTCTGTGCATTTTGTCGTTGTATGAAAATGTCACATTGTAGGCGAGCAAGGGAAAAAGGCGTTTGTACATGCCACGCAGCCCTATGACCTGCATTGCGTGCAAGGGCAGACTCAAGGCTGAACAAAGCAGTCTGCATAATTTCATTAGACAAACCTTCATTTCTCACCGAGCTTACCTGAAACTTTGCTGTGGCACCTGAAGATGAACGACTTAAGAAGCTCAAAAGATTATAATCTTTAACACGTGACCAACGCCTCTCATTGACACCAGGAGGTGCTGGAAATGCAGTGCAGCCTACATGAGAGTGAAAGCAACACCAAGTTCCTCCAATCTTTGAAAGAAAACAAACTCAGTGGGATAAAGACTTTTAATTGCTGCTGTTTTGACACAGTTACCTAAATAACAGCAAAAAATATAAATTTTATCTGATTTTAATCACAAAAGGTACAAATCAATCCCCATAGCTCACAAACACTAAGACAAATTTTTTTCCCGGCAAGCAATTTGGGAATGAGGAATGGAGGACGAAACACCACAATGTATTTGTCACTTTAGCTGGATTCAAAATTAGAGTTGTGTGCTGTCTATGTAAGGTTGTCTTTTTAGTGTTCATCTTTTTTGTACAACACTAATGGCTCACTCTAATAAAAAAATAGTATTAAGGTGACTGGTGGTTTCTATTACTGGTGGTCACATGATAGAAGAGGAAAAAGGCAGTTAATGCTCAGCGTATTCAGAAGCTGGTTGTGTGTGTCTGTGTGTTTTGGAAGGGGGTGGGGGGGCTCCCTAAAAAGACAATCAGACTGAATTTATTTGACAGCATAGCCCGAGATGTGAGGTTTTATTATGAAGAAGAGTGGCGCTTCAATGTGTCTTAGTTTGAGATCAGAGAATCCGGCTTCCTCCACATATTTCCATGTTTCCCGGATGATCCGACATCCGTCACCGCAGTAGTACCACAAAGGCTGGAGAACGTGCTGAAAGAAGTACGTCCAAGTCGAGGTGTCACCAGCTACGTGCTCTAAGAAGAAGAAGGCTCCACCCTGCACGATAAAGATTTAACATGTAAACTATAAAGTGTGTCAATATTGGGTAATGAGTGGTAAATTAATAGTTTAACTGGCAAACACGTAGGCGCTCATTTCGTCTTAAGATCTACTACAGAACACACAAATTGATAAACAGAAAAAATACATCCCCAACAAAAAAAACACAACCAACCAAAACAGTGGTGAGCTTTTGTATCTGTGGCCAGCCTACCAAAATCACTCGAAGAAAACATCAATGTCTCATCCAGGAGGAAAGAAAAACAAAACAAAACAGAACATCATCTAAAGACTGAGAAATTTGTTTACTGAAAAAGATCCCTAAGAATGTGCAGCCATCAATTTATGTCCTAAATCTCAAGGTTATTTGGATTATGCAGCAGGACGATAATCCGAAACACTAGCAAGTCCACCTCTGAATGGCTCAAAAAAAAGCAATGACGGTTTTGGCGTGGCCTAGCCAAAGTCTAGAGTGAAATAAGTTTGAGATCCTTTGACATAGCCATAAACAGCCATTCATGCTCAAAAACCCTTCAGTGTAGCTGAATTAAAACACAAGAGTTGCCTAGAATTCCTCCACAGACATGTGAAAGACTGATTCCAGTTATCACAAACACTTGATAACAGTTCTTGTTGTCAAGGGTGGAAAAACCAGTTACCAGGTTTAGGGAGTGATTACTTTTTCCATATAGGGCCAGGTAGGTTTGGATAACTTTTTAACCCTTAATGAATGAAATCATCATTTAAAAACTGCATTTTGCATTTACTTGGATGACCTTTGCCCAGTATTACATTTTTGATGAATTGTTCAATGATTTCAAACATGTAAGTGTGAGAAATATGCAAAAACATAAGGATTCAGGCAGGGCAAATACTTTTTCACAGCACCGTACTTACAAGCATTAAACTTATTTTTCCTGTTCAAAAAATTATTAATACAAGCACGAAGTGAAATTTACAGCCTACATTGGACACACAATGCTTTGTAGTAATGTGAAAAATATGGCTGCCAGTATTACCCTTGTGAAATGTTTATGCAGGATTTTAACAATAAGGAGTTTTAGCCTACCATTCAAGAACTTCTAACCAGTGTTGTTTTATATGTTGTAGCATGTCTCAATGGGATGTGAAAGTTTTTAACCTCCTACAAGTGCCACAAGTGCCTAAATTAACAATACTAGCAACTACCAAAATCACTGGTTTAATCTTTCTGTAATGGTTAATCCACTAGTACAAACTCTTTACCGGTAATCAAAATGTTCTTTTCAATGCTAAATGCAATTATTGTTCTAATCCAGGAACTCTTCAAATTTACTGTGTTAAAATAAATAAATACATAGATAAAATGGTCAACAACATCAATTTGTTTTTTAATAAGATGCCAAAATACAGTTATTTACTGTTAAAGTAAAGAACTTTTGTAAAATACATGTAAAAGTCACTTTGCCAGTATTTAAACTGTGTGTAAATGACTTGTTGGCCTGTCAAACATATCTCTAATTAATTACTCCAAGTCATTCTCAGCCTGAAACAACATTCCTGTCATGAGATCAAAGGTGCAATCAGTTTTTGGCATTCGTTTCTTGCAACATGCAGGAAATCGCTTTTTATGTTAAACAGAATACCTCACTGCATCTGACACATCCATGGAATTTGGGCGTCTTCCTCTTGATCAAGGAAAATTGCTTTTCACACATATCCAATAAATTAAAAATGTAATGTATAAAACAATATTCTTAAGAAATATACGATCTAATAATTTAATTAATATTGCTTTAAATTAATATGGAATCCCATAAAACAGACCTAAATGCCTTAAACTGGAGACAGATTAAAAAGGTGCATGGTACAAAGTGCTATTACTGTCCATCTAGTGACTTAGTGCCTATTGGACTGGTATTGGAAACTAAGAACTGATTTCAGTATTGCTGTTGGATATAACAGGTGGTCTCTAATAAATTTAAGTAATGTTTATGTTGTACAATCAAACAGAAAATGATGATAAACTTTTTAAAGCGTGAACACTGCAGTTGTTTTCTTGATGACTCTTCAACTTTTACTGATTGATGCAGAACCACAGCTGGAAGGCAGTAAAATCCACCAAGAGAAGGTGGCAGTACCCGCTTATCACGATCACGTGTCCTAAAGCTCACAATCGTTAAAGCGATAGAGAACACTTCGACAATTATAACTTTCATGAAAATATATTGACTCTAGACAACGACAGACTCTTAGGATATGAAGCGTCTTCTTCTCCCCCAAGAGAAGCAGCACAAATAATAACATAAACAGCATGGCTGCCAATCAGTGTTTAATATGGACTCGATTCAGTCTGAAGTAATTGCTGCAAAGCCCACTCACTGGTCGCAGTATGCGGTGTGCCTCTCGCAGGGTTTGGCTCACATCGTCCACAGAGCAGAGCACCAGGGTACAGACTACAACATCTATCGAGTCGTCCTCCACTGCCCTCAGGTCCTCCCCCGACGCCACCACAAATCTCTCATATCTCAGGTGATCGTTCTTGGCCATAGTTTCTGTCAGATATTTCTCAAAGTGCGGGTTGGGGTCGGTACAGATCAATCTGCTACCAGGCGGATAAAACTCAAAATTTGCACCTGTGCCGCAGCCAATCTCCAAAATTGTGAGCTGCCCGCCAGCCTTCTTGAACTCTGGCAAAACGCAAAACAAATCCTTCTTTTTATCGTGCATCTTCTTATTGTACGATTTCGCCATCCGATTTATACAAATTGGGAAAATACGCTTGTATATTCCGGACAGGCCGACGGCGTGAATCAGGTGAAGCGGAATGCATAATATATTTACTACAGAGCTCAGAAATCTCATTACAGAAGTCATTTTTGTGGAGCACGACTGTCGTGCAGCTAAGCCGCGTAAACAGCAGCGAATGATCGCGAGATAGGAGGTCAGACGGGAAGTGTGTCACGCTTTTCTAAATAAAAGTCTACATAAAAAAAGCTATCAGGTTACAAACAGTAGCTGCAAGCATGCAGGAAACAGTCATCAGAACCCAGCCCTAATACTGATATGAATCTAAGGCGGGCACTAATAAAATTATGATAAATATATATATCTGTAGGTGGCGGTAGTGCTGAAGTTAACCTGCTCATATTTCAATTTTACTGCATATCAGTACAGTGTAATTCACTGGTAACAGGCCAGTCTCAGACAATATATCAGACTACTGATATATCAGTGAAACTTTAATGGACATGGGCATATCCATTATGGTGGAATCATGTTTTTGACCACCCATCCTTTATCACGTTTTTATAAGATCATTTTTTTCCTCCATCGACTTCTCAAAAATTGTCGAGTCATGTCAAAAAAAAGAAAGAAAAAGAGTTTATCCCGTTTTCAATTGTCTGTGAAGGTTCTCGCTCATCCAGGTCATTGCAGTCTTTCACCCCTCATCTAAGATGCTTCTTCAGTTAAATTCTGATGTTTTACTATGAAAACTGACCAGGTTATAAAATACAATCTCAGGTGAATGAACAGCACATGATGGACTACACTGGGTCATTATTTATTTTAGTAACTTCATAGGCAAGAGTCTCTGAAGATGAGGAACAGAATAACAAACACCAAAATACATTTGTCACTTTAGCTGGATACAAAATCAGTATTATACACCATTTGTGTCTTTTTAGTGTTTATCTTTTCTTTTTACAACACTAAAGGATCACTCTAAGTTGACCGGCACTTTTTATCTCTGCTGGTCACATGACAAAGGAGAGGAAAGTGAGTTAAAGTTCAATGTATTCTGAGCGGCGCCTCAATGTGTCTTAGTTTGAGATCAGAGACATTGGCTTCCTTCACATAATTCTATGTTTCCCGGCTGATCTCACATCCATCACCAAAGTAGAACAACACAGACTTGAGAATGTGCTGAAAGAAATACGTCCAAGTCGAGGTGTCACCAGCCACGTGCTCTAAGAAGAAGAGGGCTCCACCCTGCACGACAAAGATTTAACATGTAAATTACAAATTATAATAACTAACAAAGTTTTATGGACCCACATGCAGGAGCAAAATATTTACAGCCTCCAATGCTGATAAATAAAAAAAATAACAGTTCAAAAGCAAAGTGCAGCACCAGGAAACAAACATCTAGAAATACAGGAAATGCAAGAATACACAACTAAGAGAGACAACATGACAAAGCAAAATTAGGTCCCTCTCTCTCTGAAAACAGGACAAAGGTATATAACCTAACATGAGACACAGAGTAACCATTACCAAAAGCTAACTAACAAATACAGAGTTAGACACACATATAAATGCAGAACCTTTATACTGAAAGAAACATAGGGGAAGGCTGCAAAACAAGCAAGAAAACAATTACTATAAAAGCTATTAATAATCACAATAAACGCAAATTCTACTAGTTAGTAAAACCAGTTCCAAATCAATTATTTTTCTCTCTGGTAAAATCCATATTTTATAACAATCTTTTTTTTTTTAACCATTTAGTACTAAACTACATTTACTACGTAACTTGCAACACAATTACTATGAAGGTTGACATGAAATTGAACTGCATATATTAAATGAAAAACTTAATTTAAATGGCGAGCAGAACTGTATATTGTCTAATCCACTATGTTCACAAAGAGGGAAGATTCAATTGATGTCAAAAGTTAAAAGAAAAAAAAACTTCTGGTGGACTGCTCCAAGATTAAGCAGGAAGTTGATGTGGAAAATCAAGAACATTTTGGCTTAGCCGAAGACTGAAGGGTTAAAGAGCAGAGAGCAGGTCAGATAAGTGACTGCAAAAATGGCTACTGAAGCTGGCTTTGCAGGCTCTATCGCTCTTGTGCCCGGTGTGCCTTTTAGGTGAAACCAGCAGACACTGGAGATGTGGACAGAACTGCACATGTGCACCAGGAAAGCCTCCATGCTAATGTGAAAATTCTGACATATAATGTCAAGGCTGACTGGGAAGCCTTTTATTCGCAGTTTCAATTTTAAGTCCAGGCTAATGGTACTGAAGGAATGCACCTAAGCTCACATGGCCACTTCCAGTCAGAGTGGCTTAGCTTGTGGTCTCTTCATGACATTCTTGCGCACAGTGCATCTTTCAATGGTGCTTTTGAAGCCTTTGGATTTGTACTGGACAGGATGAAGGCAGGAAGGCAAAAACATCTACATAAATGGTGCTTCATGTGACATAAGGCCATGTTAGTAGGCCACAGGCTAAGGCACTGATGCTGTAAGCTCCGTAGAATGTGGAAGGGATTGGCCCACCCTCAGATGTATTCAGGACTTAAAGAGGGGTTTCTGTACACAAAAACTGTGCTCCTTTCTATAGTAAGTAGATCAAAGAACAACAGTGGAAGAGAAACCCCTTACAAGCTTTCTATAGTTTGAAGGAAGCAAAAAAATCTCTTTAAGGTTTCACTTCACTACAGATGACTTAGTGGAGGTCCCAGTGCTTTACTCACTTGAGCCCTTCTTCCTTTTGGTCTCGATATGGATGTCAGCAGTGTTGGATCAGGAGCTCTTGAACATTGCAGGTTTTTTTGAAGAGACATCAGCCAAAAGCTTACTGCTATGGATGCAGCAGAGTGGAGGCGGATACATGAAGATGATGTTCACGTCAAACTGGTACTTGTGTGAGATTACCATGGTGTCTCAAGCTCCAAAGGGACTCTGGTTGGTGTTTGATTGTTTATGTTAGTGTAATGCTGGTGAGAGCCACCCACAGGAGAAAAGAAATGGCAGTTGCTCATACCACCGACCTGTGGGAGATGGTGCTCCAGGTGATGTCCATCTTCAATGGTTTCCTGCAGGGTACCCCAATGGAGAGAGTGGTGAAAGACATCCATGGTCTTTTCCCCCAAACTATGAGGGGAAACCACCATGCCCTCCCAGCTATATAGAGTATTTCACCAATTACATCAGGGGTCGGCCCTGAGCCCCTTGCGCTCGTAATAGACATGCTGAGAGATGAGGTCAGGCAGGCGTCTCCATAGAGTATGATGTTTGCAGATGATAATGATCTGTAGTGGAAGTAGGGAGTAGGTGGAAGAGAGCCTGGACAGGTTTGAATAACTGGGGTCAATCATCGAAAGAAATGGACAATTCAGGAGACAAGTGAAGAAGAAAGTGTAGGATGGTGTGGATGGAGACAAGTGTTAGGGGTGACTTGTGACAGAAAGACAGATAGTGGCAAGAGCAAAAAGGAATGTTTGCAAGGTGAGACCTAATATATGGTTTGGAGGAGGAAAAGAGGAAGACCACAGACAAGTTTTATGGATGTAATGAAGGAGAACATGCAGAGGGGAGAGAGGGTGATATGGAGCAGATGATCTGCTATGGTGACCCCTAAATGGACAAGAAGACAAAGATGAAGAAGATTTGTCTGTATTTTCAGTGCTTAGAGTAAAACCATCTATGCATGGTTACAGATTTAATTTCACATTTGCAAATCTGGTTACACACACATTCCAAATTACACATGAACAAATCTCTGTAAAGATTTACAAATATATTTGCACATTTCTGATCACACACACATGAATCAGAATACACACACAAATCCACACAGAGATCAAAATGCACACACACAAATAATTTTGCTAGAATAATAGCCCCATAGTAGAGTCCACCATGTGAAACTAGCAGATTAGCCTAAAATACAACCTCAGATGACCAAAAGCACATGACATATTACATTGTCTCATTATTTATTTAATAATAGCACCCTTTTTGTTTCCAATAAGTGGAATTAAGAAGGTAAATAGCAGCCAGGTGCTGCTAATCAAATGCATTCGATTAACATGTCATCAATAAGTGTGGACACCCATGGAAACAGTTTTGGCAGTTTGTTGGTCTGGAGCAAAGCCTCGACCTCAACCCTAATGAAAATTTGAAGCCTGAACTTAAAAGCCAGGTCTGTACCAGAAACCAACCAAATACTGAAATTGTCAATAGCTACTATAACTGTCAGATTTAACCAAATATTAGCGGGGATGTATTGTATTGTTGAGGCTATATGTGCAGTTTTGACCCTGTGTGGATTTGGGAAAATCAAAAATAAATTCATACTTTTGCACCCCATTCTTGTTTTTTAAAGTCAACATAGATGTATGCTGTGCATTCATTCGACCCAGGAAAACAGTTCAAGGAAATTATAATGTCCCAGTTAAATTCCAGACCTCAACCAGATTGAAATGCTGCAGGACATTAAAAGGGCTGTGCCTAAAAAACACCTACACACCTTATTGAACTAAAGCAATACTGTAAAGAGTAGAGGGCCAAAATTCCCCAACAACAATGTGAGAACCTGAAAAAGTTATACAGGACAATGATTGTTTCAAGATATTTCCTCTAAAGGTGGTTCTACAAGCTACTGAGTCATGACATGTACCTAGTTTTTCCAAACACTGTTTCTAATAATGACACTGTAAAATAGTTCATGTATTGTTGTTCATCTATTCATTTGATGTGTTTAAACAATTTGAGAACCCGCCATGGACCTGATTCATCTTCTTTAAAAAAAAAAAAGCCCTATGTTTAAAACCTTACAGCTGCTTCAGTTTTTTAACAGGTGCATTTTATATGGCAAAAATTTGTCTCTAGGTTTTTCAATCACATAAACTCCCATGTTGTGTGGTTTACACTGAAAAGAGTCATGGTACTGAACCAAACAATACACTTACAGGTTCATAAATGAAAACATCAATCAAAAAGAGCCAGAAGTGAAGAATTTAGTCAATGTTTCATTTTTGGCCTGTTTGTCACTAAAAGCAAAATCTGTCATAGACTAAAATTATTAGGGCCCGAGCACTAAAAGTGCGAAGGCCCTATTGTATCTGCTCCGTTTATTATTATTATTATTATTATTTTTTATTTTTATTTTTTTTCATTGAAATGAATTGCCTTTTTGAGGGCTTTAACATGCTCAAAAACTCATGAAATTTTGCACACATGCCAGGTCTGGTGAAAAATTTTGTATTTTAATGGTTTTACATATGAGCACTGGGAAATGGCTCTAGAGCGCCACCTATGCCTTGTTAAATGCAGCCCTACGAACACATCGTTTGAGCTACATACATGAAATCTGGCACACATGTGTATCATACCAAGACGAACAAAAAAGTCAATTGGCCCACTGACGCAAACCCAACAGGAAGTCCGCAATTTAGAAGTGAAGGTGACATTTTGGCACTAATTTTGCTATTTCCATGCCTCGAACTTTTGCGAACTCCTCCTTGGGATTTGGTTGTATAAGCTTCATATTTGGTCAGTGTCAACTACACACCTGGGCCATGTTAAATTGCGGAGCTTTGGAGTTTTCGGGATACGGTGACTCGCCATGAAAATCTTATTGCCTCTCATTCTGTCATATATTGTCCGATTTGGACCAAAGAGCACACATATGGTAAGGCTCCATATTTGACATCAGGGACAGCGCCACCTAGTGGGAACAGGAAATGTCATGTTTTACACTTTGGGGTACGGTATTGTGATGGGCGACATCTGCAGCCTCAAATTTCTCCAGGAAAGCCTTAAGGAGTTGGTCTTGGGTTACAGAGAAAACGGTGACTTTTCGCCAAAGGGTGTGACCCCGAAAGCATGGCGAACTTTGATGTCTCGCCATGAAGAAACAAATTAGTATAACTCACTGAAATCCAGTTTGATCAGTACCAGACTTTCCAGGCATGATGTCAGACCCGCCCTGAACAGATTGATGTGCCCATTGTCAGGAATACGCAGAGCGCCACCTAGTGGCAACAGGAAATATCATGGCTTTAATTTTGTTGTACTGATTTTCACAGGTTCATCATGGCCACCTCAAAAGTGGTGAATATCACCATCAGTCCTTCATGATGCTTCAGTGCGAAAATTGTGACTTTAAACTGAACGGCGCACCCTGGTGGCAACGCGGTTCATCATGAAAAATAAAGTTGCTTTTGAGGGGCTTGGAAAGTTTAAAAAGTCTTGAAATTTGGCACACACCTCCAATGTGATGAAGGCTTTCTGTTATGTGATCATTTTTAAGGAAAATTGTAAAATGGCTCCACAGTTCCCCCTAAAATATGTCAAAACATCAGCCCCTGCTCTGTGTTTTATGTATGAGTCTGAAACCTGGTAAGCTTATGGAAGATATCAAGATGTACAAAAAATTCTCTTGGAGCAATATCCCAAATCCAACAGGAAGTCAGCCATTTTAAAATTAATGTGTAATTTTATCGACATTTTCCCCTCTTTTCAGGCCTCATACTTTGACGAACTCCTCCAAGGGATGTGTGGAATCTAAAGACCTTTTTGATGTTGAATTGCGAAGCTTTTTACGTTCAGGGAAACGGGGTGGTCATGGCGACATGTGGAGTTTCAATCACTCGCCAAAAAGCAGTAATCTGCTGTCACTCAAAAACACAATGTCCAATCTCTCCCAAAGGTCGCAGGTGTGATGAGAGTCGAGCTCGGAAATGTTTGATGTGCCATTTGTCAGTAATGGTTAGAGCACCACCTAGTGGGACGACTATAATCATGATTGAATGAGATGAAATGTTAGCTGGTTGTTAAATGCATGAATTCCATCAATGTGACATCAGATCGGAGGTGCTGGTTTTAGGTGTTGGGCGTGGCCCGACGCGCCGGGGGTGCGAGGGCCCTCATAACGCTGCTTGCAGCTTTAATTTAATTTGTTATTAATAATGTGATTATTTTGGGGAACAGCACAGATGGTGTATTTGCGGATGTTTTTATTATTCATCCAGTTTTTCAGCAAGTGAAGATATGTATAAAACTCCATGTTTGGAGTTTTATACATTCTGGTAGCAGAATGTGTTGCTGTTCACATGTAACTTGAGAAGAGCTTCTAAGACAATCTGGTGGATGTCTCTGTCTCGTCTACAGTACACTATACAAATAATTTACTCGTGACATCTATATCACATGCTTAGAGTTTTTTAAATGGCTCACTTATTTCCAATAGACATTAAACTGCAGTTCTTTAATGCTCCACTAGATGGAGACATTGTTAGCTCATGACACTTCCTTCATAAACTCCCCCAACACTGTGATTTGAAGGGTGAGGAATATAGACAACATATTGCAAACATTTGTGGCTGAAAGCAAGTTACAGGTAAGAATTTTGTAATCTACAGGGTTGTGTGTTTAAAAAAAAAAAGTCTCATAGGGGAATGACGGCACACTTAACCATGTGAGGTCCATGTGCAGTAAAGACAATAAGTCTGTTTTCTATATTTAACATAAATTGCACAATTTCCAGTCATTTTTGACAATTTCATAAACAAAACAGTGTATTATTGTGTTTAAGTAAAACCTTAATCATCAAATTTATTTCACAGTGCTGGTGATTTTTGGTTAGCCTGCTATGGGGCTCCAAAAGCTCAAACCCAGTGTCTTAAATTAATCAAGTCTTGAAACAATTCTTAGAACTCTAAACAGCATGGTTTACAGTTAATTTTACTGCTTGTTACAAGGTTTGGGAGCTTTGTTGAGGTTCTCCATCAGATAACTGTGCACATAGAATTTTGAAATGATTACATCCAATAGAAAGTTGAGCTTTAAAGCTGTTAGCTCGGAGGTGGTTGTTCCAGTTTTGAACAGCTGTAACAAGATTGATGCTAGTCTGTTTATGTTGTACACATTAAATGTGTGAGAAT